CTTCTGCTCTATGGCGAGAGGGTATAGGTTTATGGACCAAATGTAGCCTGTAGTTTTAGAAGAGGTAGCTGTGTTCATCTGTGCAGGTGTATGTTTGAAAACTGCTTGGATTAAGCAAGGACATTTGGTTGTTGGAGACAAAACTGATATGTTTTTTTTTTATTTATACCCATCCTCTAACGCAGACAGTCTGGCTAGTTGGCTGTTATTAACACAAAGGGGCACCACAGGTGTCCAGGTTGCCTGGTGTAATAGGCCGTTACAGTGGCCATGTATAAAAGTGGAAGCAGTTCCTGTTCTTTCAGGAGCCATGAAAAGGATATTTCAGCAGGTATCATTTGCCATGCAAGCTATATTTGCTGAAACTCTTGGAGGCCTGTCTCCCCATCCCTGATGTATTTCACTATCAGTGCTGTGTATTAAAAAGAAAAGAAAAATCTGGAAGGGGAAGTGGTCTGACATGTGAGTGTGTGTGTGTGCTGAAAGCATAGATCAGTTGCTGTAATGGAGGACACTTCATATGCATGTATTTTCCAATAATTATTCAATTGCTGTGTCCACATACAACACAAAAATATAATTAAAGATTACATTGACAAAGCTTAGCTCATTCTTTCCTCCGTTCCCTCCACCCTAGCACAGCCATAAGAAGATGATGGGTTTTTTTCCCCATTTTAAAAATTTAATTGGTTTGTTCTCCATTTTAAAAATTAAACTGGTTTGTTCTCCATTTTAAAAATTAAATTGGTTTGTTCTCCATTTTAAAAATTAAATTGGTTTGTTCTCCATTTTAAAAATTAAATTGGTTTGTTCTCCAACAAACTACCATGTTTTCCCGAAAATAAGACAGGGTCTTATATTATTTTTTGCTCCAAAAATGGATTAGGGCTTATTTTCAGGGGATTTTTTTAAAAATGTACAACAATCTACATTTATTCAAATATAGTCATGTCATCTTCTTCTGGTTGCTGCACAATGGTGGCAGGGTTTCACTTAAATGGGGCTTATTTTTGGCATAAGGTTTATATTACAAGCATCCTGAAAAATCATACTAGGGCTTATTTTCAGGTTAGGTCTAATTTTCCGGGAAACAGGTTATGGTTGGTTGGTAACCACTAAGATTTCTTGGGAAAAAGACATCATTAACCTATTAATAATTATACTGTTTAGTTTCAACTGACTATAATAAATAATAGCCATAGATTACACTTTTGAAGAACAGGTCACAGTTGAAAATGAACATCAGTAATCACATCCTTGACACTCACAAAAAGATGCCTTGACATGCCAAGGCATGCTGTAAATGGCAGAGACACACTTTATTTTATTAAATTCCATTTTCAATAAACTAGAATTTACTTTAATATCCAAAACATTGGTAAATATGAAATATTGTGTCCTGCAGGAGTTAAGGAAGTGTAGCTCTTCAAAGACTGAATTACAGCTCTTCACCGGTGATCATGCTGGCTAGGAATAGTGGAAGTAACATACCTGGAGGGCCACACTTTGCTCAGCTTGGTGTAAGTAACCAAACCAGGATCATAAACATGGTTTGAAGGTGGTTAGCTTCTCAAAAGCATAGTTAAGGCTATTCACAATTTATTTGGATTCGGAAAGTGATAAACCAAAAGACTGATTTTACAAGAACATGGAAAGTTCCAATCTCCTTATTATTTCCA